GCCGCAATAACCGCCGTAAATACAAAACTCTAGCCCATCACCACCATAGACCACATACAGCCCAACCAGATTGCAAACTGGGATTTGGGGTGCGATTGTGATCTTGAGGAATGCCTAATTTGCTTTCTGATTTGGATTTTATTTTAAACTTGTTATTAGCTTTTCTTTCTTACATAGACACAGTAACTAGTTCTTCCAATTTATTTCTTTGTAATTTCCTTTTGTTCCCTCTAAGATTATATGCACAGAAAAATCAAGAAAAGCAAAACTCATGAATCATTCACAACCAATCAGTCCAAAAAAACTTGAACAAAAATTCTTCACAATTCTAACCATGAAACACAACCCAAAAAAAATAAAAAACAAAACAAAACAAAATAAGCATAAGTCCCATTTATTTAATGAATTCGAATTTAAATTTTAAATTTTTTTATAATAAAAAACTTTAAAAAAAGTTACATTTAATTTTTTTTATTAGAATAAAAAAATTTATATAAAATTACGTTTTAACTCAAATTAAAAACTCAAATTAATGAATTAAACATACTTATAAAGTGAAGAAATCTGGCAGCGAAGTGATATTTGGGGGGTTTTCGCGTTAGGGGCGGGGGGTGGGGGCGCGCGAAGGACAGGGGTGCTCATGGAGGGATCTGAAGAGTGGGGGGAGGCTCAGCATTGGGGTGGTCTGCGCGGCAGATCTGGGCTTGTGTAGCGCGCGTTCGATAGGGATGGGCTGGTAACGGTGCAGCTTGCGACGACACTTGATGGCAGTGGTGTGACTCGCTACGGCGCAGGTTCGATGGCAGAACCGGTTTGTTTGATTCTCTCCGTCTTCAGTTTTTGCAGAGGGACGAAGCAGAATAAACAGTAAACCCAAATTTGATAAAAGTAAAAACCTTTGAGCAACCACAAAAATAATAAAAAAATAGAATAATATTGAGCATCTTCTCACAATTGGGGCATTTCAGACATTTTATCGATAAAAAGGATCAGGTGTGTGTAGTGGTGGAACTTTGGGCCGGTGGGCAGGCCCGCTGCCCGAATTTTTCGGGCTCGGCAGGCAGGTCCATATGCCGGCTCGTCCAAAGTTGCATTTTCAGGCTCGGGCTCGGGCAGCCTAAATTTGATCACCACGCCAGAGCCCGCTGCTGTGTAGCGCCGTGAACCATTGTCCGCCAGAGTTTTTTTTTGAATTTTTCCGTCCAAGCCCGAATGCCCGACCCGCCCGAAGCCCGAAAAAGGTCAAAATTATGACTGTTGGTGCCCGACCCGAAAATAAGCCCGAAAACCCAAATTTTACCCGAATGGCCAAGATGCTCGAGAAGCCCGAACTGCCCGAAAACCTGAAAACCCGTCAAACGGCTAGTTTTTTGACCGTTGCCGCCCAAACTCGCCCGAACCCGCCCGAACATGAACCCACCGAACCCTAAACTAGCCGTTGCACTCTGAATGTTTTGAAAAAAAATCAATTTTTTAACCAAAAAATGTCCCTATAAATACCCCCCATCCCCCATACATTTTTCTCACTCAAACTATCTCAATCCCTCTCAATTTCTCTCAATCTCTATCAATTTCTCTCAATCTCTCTCAATCTCTCAAATCTCTATTGCAATTTTTTTAAAAACTATCACATTATCCTAAAGCACTCTCTCTCAAATCGCTCTTATTTTTTTATAATGGATCCTTTTGGTTATAGTGGTATTCCCGTTGATACCCAACACAACGTGGAATAAGGACAATTTCCCACTAATGAATTTGTTAAGCAAGAATCTACTAATCCGAGCCCTAGTGGACGTACTGGAGGTCGTGGTCGAAATGGTGGTGGGCGTGGAGAAGCGGCGTGTGCCAGTACGACTGCGTCTGCAAGTGTTGCAACATCTAGAAGGAAATGCAAGCGCATCTCGATAGTTTGGGATCACTTCGACATAATTGAGGAGATCGACAATGAAGGTAACACTAAACATATAGCTTAGTGTAAATATTGTTTATCTAAATTACAAGGTGACACTATTCACAACATCACACACTTGAGAAGACACTCCAAAAAGTGTCTTCAAAAGCTTAGCCAATCCGGCAGACCCGAACTCCGCCAAACACAATTATCTTTTGATCGCGCAACCGGTGGTCTAACCGCTTGGAAATACGATCCGCAAGTAGATCGTATGGAAGTTGCATGAATGATAGCTGCTTTAGATCAACCACTTACTTTTGTAGAGCATCCTAATTGGCAACGATATATTAAGGTTGTACATATTCCTAATGCATAGTTCACTTAAAAAACTACTCTTAGAAAAGATTTATTAAAATTATTTAAAAAAGAAAAAGAAGCATTAATAAACTTTTTACACTCGACTAGCGGGTGCGTTGCGTCAACGGCATATATTTGGTTTGGTGTTGCCAATAAAGATTATTTAGCTGTAATCGGACATTACTTTAAAGGATTTGATTTAGATAATAGAATATTAGGTTTTAAATGTGTTCTAGGATCACATAGTACGGATTTAATATATAATACCATTTTAAATATAATTGATGACTTTAGATTAAGAGATAAAGTAATGGCTATAACATTAGATAATGCTAGTGCCAATACAAAAGCAATTGAGTTCTTTAAAAATGATTTAAGTTTATTCGGTGACGGTACTATTTTTCACCAACGTTGTGCATGTCACGTAATTAATTTAATTGTTAAATCCGGTTTAAAAGAAATGGGTAATCACAGTAAAAGAACTAGAGATAGTCTTGTATGGATTCGAAGTAGTAACCAAAGATAAGAAGATTGGTTTAGGTTCTTACAAGCATTAAATATACTTCCTAGAGCATTAGCGTTAGATATGCCTATAAGATGGAACTCAACTTACATAATGCTTCAATAATGCATCCCTATAAGGATGCTATAACAAACTATATGTGTGCAAAAGTAGGAGTAGGACATACAAAAATATATAATTGGCAAATTGCCGAAGTTTTGTATCAATTTTTAGGTAAGTTTCATGAAGTGACTCTAAAACTTAGTGGAACATATTACCCAACATCACCTTTAGCTTTAGAAGAACTTTTACGAATTAGTATTTTATTTAGCGAATATAGGGATGACTCAATCTTAGCAGTTCCTATCCATTCTATGAAAAAGAAATTTATAAAATATTGGTCTAAGTTGCCTTTGTTGTATGGTTTATGTACTATTTTTTATCCTAGATTAAAATTAGAAGGTTTAGAAAGTGGTTTAGAAAACTCAGGTGAATTTTTAGACATCAATTGTTCGGATCAATATTCAATAATAAAGGAAAAAATATATTCGATCTATAGTAAATATGATATTAGGTTTAGAGTACCTCCTAGAGTACAGGAACAACAACAACAAGATGAAAACCCGCATTCATTCTTGAATGTTTTCGGGCTGAAGAAGAAGAAGAAGAAGAAGACAACTCAAACAGAAGTTGGGAGTGAATCTTCGTCAACAAGTGGCAATGGCAGCGACGGCGGCAGCTTCAACGAGCTTATGGCGTACCTCAGTGAAGGCTTAGTAGTCGACGGTACGGCAGAATCATTTGACTTAGTTCAATGGTGGAGGGCACGGACATTAACTTGGCCAATCCTAACTCGATTGGCAATGGATATATTTTCGATCCCAGTCTCCATTATCTCATCCGAACAAGCCTTCAATACTACAGGAAGAATACTTGAGGAACGCCGGAATGCATTGCAAAGGGATATTGTTGAAGCCTTATTTTGCATTGAGGATTGGGATCGGGTCGATCAACGTCTACAGGATACAATTTTGCCGGCAAGCCAAGAATGGATCGATGAATTTAATCGATTAGCATTTAATTTTGAAGACGATATTTCAGCTTCAAATTAAATTGTAAATTTGTAATTTGTAAATATGTATTTACTTTTGATATTGTATTTGTAATTGTATAACTTTGTAAGTTTGTAAAATTTGTAATTTGTCACAAAATGATTGCACTCTTTTTTCCTTGTCAAGTTTTTATCCCAATTAGGTTTTTCTTAGTAAGGTTTTTAACGAGACAATCATGAATTACAAATTTAATATACATCATTAATATACATGATTAATTTATTCAATTGTGTTAATAATGTCTGTTGAATATAGATTTTGATTTTTATATAATTTTAACACACACAAACTTAATAATTATAAAAATTAAAAAATATTGAAAAAAATTTCGGGCTATTCGGGTGGGCTCGGGCGGCCCAGCCGAGTTTGGGTAGCCAACTATAAGCACGCGGCCCGTTCAAAGGCATTTCCGGGCTCGGGCAGGTCGGGCTCGGGCAAAAACTTGGTATTTTCAGGCGGTTGCGGGCAACTCATCCAAAGTTTCAGCATTATGTGTGTCGTCACGTGATGGTCTCCGTTAGTAATTTAACAGATTAGACAAAAAGGTTAAAATTATAGGGATGTTTGAAACTCATTTTAAAATAATTTTATTTTTTATATTAAAATAAAAATGAAAATGTTTTTAATCTCAGATAAAATTTATTTTTAAAAATATGTTTAGTAATTTTATTAAAAAATCATTTTCAGTATAAAAAATCATTAATATCTCTCTTTACTCGAAAGAAAAAAAAATAAAAAAAAATTAAAAGTTATTTTTTATCTCTCTTATGTTACACTAAACCAAAAAATTATTTTTATTTCTGTTTTTTATCTTAATTGTATCAAACGTTGTTTTAAAATTATTTTTAATTTTTTCTTTCTCAAAAAACATAAAAAATAAAAACAAGAACAACTAATGTTTAAAAAGGCTGTAAAAAATCATTAATATCTCTCTTTACTCGAAAGAAAAAAAAATAAAAAATAATTAAAAGTTATTTTTTATCTCTCTTATGTTACACTAAACCAAAAAATTATTTTTATTTCTGTTTTTTATCTTTAATTGTATCAAACGCTGTTTTAAAATTATTTTTAATTTTTTCTTTCTCAAAAAACATAAAAAATAAAAACAAGAACAACTAATGTTTAAAAAGGCTAGGGGTGGTTTGTAATCAAGATTAAACTGTACGGACCATTTAATCAATAAATTTAATTCCTTCTCTGTTTTTTTCTTTCTTTTCAATTACAAGGCAGAGGAATCCACAGCCAATCATAGTCCAACGATGAAAAAAATTGTCCTCTGCGTATCTCTCTTTACATGAACAAGCTGTTAAACTTGAAAAAATGAATGCAAAACAAGCTACCCTATAATAAATTAAGCACAAAACATGTAAAAAAAAAAAAAAAAACCCAGAACTTTGAAACTGATTAATCTTCACAATCATCATCTAACAGTAGAAGCAACAGTATGAGCCCACCATCTGAGATTATCTTTCATGTCAATCTCGTTTTCCGAAGCAGGAATCCTCCAATTCATCAATGGATTTTCTCTCTTCGGCCTTAAATCAAACACCTCCCACGCTTCAGAAAGATAAGGTCTCGAAATCACAGACCCATTAGCAAAATCTCTCTTTTCTTCTTCTTCTTTTTCCTTTTCTTCTTCTAATTCCTTATTATTCTTTCCCAATCTCTGCAACCCAGGAATTATCGAAGCCAAACTCGATTCTCTATCTTCCTCAGAGAAAACAAATCCCAAATCCATAAACCCTTTTAGTTCTTCGAATTCAAGATCCGACAAGCTCTTGCTTTCGCAGCCTTTTCTTCTTCTTCTTCTTCGATTACTGACCTTCTTCTTTGGCGGCTCTGCAACTTCGAGGTTTTCCGTTTCTGGGTTTTCGAATCCGGGAATTTCCTTTCCGGAGAGGATTGTGCAGAGCTTTGGCGACGAATGATCTGTTGTGTTCATGATCGATTGGTCGCTCATTGACCTGTTGTGGTGAGTCGGAACTCGCGAAATCTCTGGTTTTGGTTGCTTTTTTTCGTTTTCTTGAGTAATTTCTTCTCGGTGATCTTGTTCTGATTCGGAGCTTGATGAATTCAATGAAAATGGTTGTTTGATCTTAAGGATTTGGAGCTCAAACCAGCAATAGTCGTAGAGGTTCAAGACCTTCTCTGCTCGAGACAATTCCATGAATGGCGGCTAAGGGTTTTTTTTTTTTTTTTATGTGTATCAATTTTTTCCCTCAAGAAGGCTTTATATATGTCTAGGGAAGCGCGTTGTTGTTACGTTTGCCCTCGATGTCATTCGGACTGAAAATTGAAATGTTCAAACTGTTTATTCACACGTGTTTCCCATTTGTTTTTCCGTTTTATGTTTTTATTTATTTATTAACTTTTAGAATAGTTTCTGTGGTTTTACTTTTATTTTCCGAGTGAAACTGCTTTTTCCTGGAAAGAGAGAAAATTGAAAAATGATAGAAGGAGAGCATATCTTTTGTTTTGTTTTGTTTTTTATTTTTTTTAAGGGACAATTTTGTTCAATTTATAAATCACTTAGAGCCGGTTTAAAAAGCATATTTAAATTATAATTCTTGATTTCATGTTTAAAATTTAAATTTTTCACGAGAAAAAAATACTATAATAAAATTAATTATTTAAATTTAAATATATAAAATAAACGAATCCTTAAGTGATAGCGATTAATAAGTGAAAACATAAAAGTAAACTAAAACATATCATTAGCAAAATAAAAAAAATAAAACAAAAACATAAATCTAAAACATATCATTAAAAATAACCAGTACATAACCATCTAAGTGTGAGATACACAGCCAGATGTATAACAACAAGAACCACAACAAGCTTAAGAAAAGATACTCCTGATATCTTTTAAAACACCGGCTAAGAGAAAGCAAATGAACACTGATAAGAGATACACTCTTGGTATTCACCACTATATACTAATAAGAAAATAAGCAGTTACTGTCAATTATTCAAATAAGCCCTTCAGTAGCAAAGCTTCATAAAATTTGAGGGTCGCATGCTTTTAACTAGTAACACTTATAACACGGCAATTTGTAGAATAAACATTTTGCAAAGCGTTCGTCTCTCCATCTAATGATACTTAAATATATATCAAATCATAAATAGTTTATAAGTCCGTTTAGTTCGCTGATTTGAGTTTTTAATTTGAGTTGAGATGTGACTTTATGTGAGAATTTTTTACGGTAACAAAAAAATTAGATGTGACTGTTTCTGAGAATTTTTTACTGTAGCAAAACTCGAATTCTAAATTTGAATCGATGAAATGAATGAGACCTATATTAATGCTCAATTACTCAGACAATTTCATGTGGAAGTTTCTAGAGGTGATTTCTTAACTTGTTTGATGATTTCAATGCAATATAAATGTGTTATTTTATTTTTTTATTTTTTTTATTTTTTTTCAATTTTGAAAGTGTGGAAGTTACTAGATGAACCCTGAGATGTCATATCGCTAATGTTGGCTATCGATGGCAATCGTGATTGTGCATATTATCTTTACTATAGAGATGTTGATATTTCGCTTGTCACGTCCCTATCATGGAGTGCTGAACCAAACATTTGGGAAGCAATCACTTACATCAATAATGGGTTGTTGCTTCTGATTTACTCTAATTTTGTAACTCTCTAAATCATTATTTATGGTGGGCATCTCCTTTTAGTGATCATCCACCCACGTAATTGATGTCCACTTACAACCTAACGATAACATGTGGCATTTACAACATATCATGTGGTTAAGTTTCTGTGCAAATTTTTATGATATCTCTTTGATTGATTCTGCCACGGTTTTTACTTGATCATAATAATAATGTGTTATAATATTACACGAGTTTCGAATTATTTGACTAAATAAAAAATTAACTATGTTCATATGTATGAGCTGACACATATAATTAAAACTAATTATTTAGTTGAAAAGAGTAAGGTTAGAAAAAAAAAAAGAAACATATTTATTCTCTTCTGCTACATACGGACATGTATCTAATTTACTGACTTTATTATTACTCTGTATTGTTCAAAGTGACGATGTTAAATGGCTTACAAAAATTGCGTCTAATTAAAGAAATATATGTGTTACGTTTGATAGCACTACCACTTTACTAATTTCATGAGTGTGGACAACACTACATTGCATATTTTATTGGTTCATCAGAAAGCTATAAATAATTCAGAAATTGTAGGAAATAGGCCAATATGAAAAGCTTAAAAAAGTATATAGGCCAATATTTAGTTATAGAAATTAATAGACCATAACTTGTTAAGTTATGGTTCATAACCAGATAAGTTATGGACAATAACTTGTCAAGTTATGGTTCATAACCAGACAAGTTATGGACGAAAATAGTAATTTGACATATTTATTAACTTATGTAAACTATTAGCTTATTAATTTTAATTCATCTCAAATCTTGATTTATTTCCCTTTTTCTCCCTAAATAATTTTGAATAGCACTATCACTTATTTTAATTCTCAAAAAAAATTTCCTCCCCAACTAACAAATCTTATTCTCTTGGACGTGGCGCTAATACCTATCTTGTTGACCCTACAACATTATTTTTATTATTATTATTATTATTTTGCTAAGGGTCTCCAACATTATTTAATCTTTGTTTTCACACCTTAATTTGCTACAAGTAAACAAGTACTAGTATCATTCTCAAATGTTGTTTTTGGAAATAAACAATATTTCTCCTCTAATCACGTGGAATTGGACACTTTCAAAGACAAAGCTTAAAAGAATTGTAGCTACGAAGTACAAAGAGAAACCTACACAATTGTTATCTAATCTGGCGTTTGGAAAACTGGAGGAACTTTAGAAGATTTAATAGAGAGCAAAAGACAAGTGAGAACCGTGTTGTGTAATAGCCCTAATTTGAAAGTCAAATTATCAAAAATGGGTTTGGTCTAATGGTCTCCTTAGAAAAGAAGGATTTAGCAAATATAGTAACTTGTGAAAAGAATATTCTGATGCTCCGATGTGAATAAGAGTCATCAACTTACAAAAGAAGGATTTAGCTCCAAAAAAAAAAAAAAAAAAAAAAAAAAGGAAGAACAAGAAGTCATACATGTGAGTCAGATGCGCTAAAGTGATAGAATCTCAATTTTCCCACTTTCCATCTACGGTTCTTGATGGCCGGCGCGGGCTACAAGTTAGGAAGGACTTCTTAGCACAAATGATTAACTCCATGCAAACGTAGATGTAAATGCAAATGTTATGTTTAGCACTAAAAGGTAAAAAAGCGTGAAACTAAAATTACTTGTTTTAACACATAATGGCCATTACATATCTATTTCTTTTTGCCATAATTATTAAATTTCAATCTTGTAAAATTAAAATTTTGACCATAAAACAATTTGAAAATAACAAATATTATGATATTTGACATGTGGAATGCAAAGGTGATTTTCTCTGCCTCTCTTTAGCACGCCTCTGTTTGTGGGCCCAATCTTTCATATTGACTGCCAGCGTGGGCTGAAGTTTGACTTACCACATCGTTCATTTTATCGATTTGAATTTTTAATTTAAATGTAGATATCATTTTATGTGAGAGCTTTTAACTATAGCAAAAAAATTAAATATAATTTTTTATAAAAATTTTTAATTATAACAATTCGAATCGGTGAAATAAATAATGCCGTAATTTACATGGGTTCACAAATACTCGTACTGATGAGCGGAATACTGAACACACACTCCTCGTCTTTATCGTCTTTGACGAAATAGAGAGAGAAAGAGAGTTTTTTATAGCAATACCGAACTATCTATATACAAAACCGTACGTATAGAATGCCATGTTATGTTACTAATATAACACATGTCAAATAAGATGTCCTCTGTCATGCATATGACGTGCAAACTGCAAAGCCGTTTCAGGGATATCTTATCTTATGCATGATTGAGGACATTTCCAAAGAATAATAATGAACATATATAAAGTACAAATAATTTAAGGAGAAAAGTGAATAATGCCAGGTAGACAGATGTAACTCATTTTTCCCTGCCCAACATGTGAACTAATTAATATTGTTCACACTCCACATTTCTCACTGGATCCTACTTAATCTTAAACAGAACTTTCCAGGTGTAGACACCTACCATCAACACCATTGAAAACGTGGAGAAAACGATCAAAGTTGTAAAAAATGAATGCGCCTTTGTACATGTCTAGTTAACCATCATTATCAAATATATAATATGAACCAAACTAATCAGTATACAAAAGAGTATCATATAGTAAATTAAGTTTTGTCATTGTGGATGTTACCCTGAAGTCAGAAATTTTTGTTTGTGGGGTCATAATAATAATAAAAAAATTTTATAATAGAAGAAGTTTATATAAATAAGGTTAATTAAAAGATCAAGTTTTTAATGTCTAATGGGGGTATTCAAGTTTCTAATGTCTATTGGGGGTATTTGTAAATTGATATGAGAAAATACATATTTATATACATTAAAAAAAAAGAAAAAAAAAAAAGAGATGGGGCTTGAACTCCCACTGGGCCATATATTGACTCCGTGGGTGGTTACAAGAGTGAATAGCTCCGTAGGATACGTCAAAAGAGCCGATTGGGCAGAGCGGACTATCTGAAGGACACTGTGATAAAAAAATTCCACTTAAAATCAAGTTTGGGCCCCAAGGAGTTTCTCTCTAATAGAAGCTCTTTACCGTCCTTGTTCGATTTAGGACCGTTAAATTTAATAAAAATTATATTAAATTAAAAAAATATATAAAATATATAATTTTTATTATAAATTTTACAATTAAAAATAAAAACTGCCAATAGTTAATTTTTTTTTAATCTTATTAAAAACTACTCGTCTTTTCAAGGAGCGCCTTGCTTTATGAGGAGAGCCCGAAAAGTATCTCCAGGGTGGCAAATAAGTGTTGTACAAGTGATGTCTTCATTTCGTTGATTTGAGTTTAAAATTTGAATTTTTTTTACAGTAAAAAGTTCTCATAAATAATTATATTTAACTTTTTTGTTACAATAAAAAATTTTCATATAAAATCACATCTCAACTCGAATTCTAAACTCAAATTAACAAAGTGAATGGATCAGAGATTGTAAATGAAGATCACATGCTTAGAAAATTGAGAAAAGGGTGATAGTAAGGGGGGAAAAAGAAAAAGAAAAAGTTGTACGTATTTAATATTGAAACTACTGATATTTTCGTTTTTTTATTTA